TTTTTCACTATTTACACTAATTTTCACTATATGTGTGAACTTAATTATCAAGTTAAATATTTGTTAAACAATCCAATTATTGTTGGCTACAATTGAGTGAAGTTTGTATTAGATTGCTTGAAAATTAAAGGAGTTTTTAGTTTAAAATTTGTGTTGAAATCGATTTTTTGTTTTTTGCGGTTTTCACTAAGCACAGTGGAATAAAAATAAAAATGAGGTATCGTTGAGCTCGTCATGATATAAGTAACTTACATACTGAGTTTGAACGAAATCGGAAGAAAAAAGCTGAATTAATCGATTTTTGATCAACTTTATCAATTATTGATTTTTTTTTAAATTATCAATTTTTATGATAAGAACTTGTCTCTTAATAGTACACTGTATGTGCCAAGTTTGGTCAAAATTGGTTGAATGGATCTCAAGTGAAAAGGTATCACATAGATAGACAGACACATAGAATCCTCTGTTTTATATATAGAGATGTACATATCTCATTGATTTGTTCATGGATATTGATTTTTAAAATTTATTAACTATTAAATTTTTCCAAGTTAACCCTCAATCAGTTAAGTGCCATACATGATATCCGCTTGGGCGATTGTGTCTGTTTCATGATTGCGTAGGCAGAATATTTTCCTGCAGTAGGTTGCCATTTCTTGCTGCAGTAAACTGGTGGATATTGAAGGTGATGTTCTGCTATTTAACCTATAGCAGGGAGGGGAAGAAATGGATTTATACCTTTCCCAAGGATATTTGTGTGTAAGTGAATGTAACCTATCTGGAATTCAGTTAAATTAAACGTTTCTAATAACTGGCTTGCCATGATAATTAGGTTTTCCTTACATTTTTGCAGTTGTTTTGAAAATACTCTTACAAAATGTCAACAAGAAAAAATATAAACGACCAACTGATTTTCACAAATTTTATCTCACAAATATATAAAAGTTGATGGATGGCTATGGGAAAGGAGATCGTATGACATTAGATTAAATCAGATCAGTTTTAGATCATATCAGTGATCACTTCTGAAGTAAATTGTTGCAATCAGAGCATGTTAAACAGTTCAACTACATACAGACTCTGTTACATAACTCAGAAGAGATTATACAATCTTGGCATAATGCCACAACTGTTGTTAAAGGGAAGTTTGCAAACTGACACAAATATATAATTACTTTCCCCATTATCTACTTTTAGAATACCATCAGTGAGTTATAAAATGTCATAATTACTAAACAAGCACACAATACAAGGCCCAAGAGCCACTCAAGGTAGAAGGTTATTGAATTAGGTTGTTTTATGAATACAAGAAAAAAAAATAAGTACAGATTATGTGGATATATGTGATAGATAATGGTTAAGGTTAAGATTCTAGTGATCAGTGATGCAGCCTGTGAGGTATCTGTTCTACAAAATAGTGGTTCCCAGGAAGAAGCTGTCTGGATGGAACTTATTTCTTATCAATGGAATATGAAGACGCTGAGGATGATGTAGTTCATTTGAACATTTGTCATGTGACTACTGACAGAGTTGTGATAATCTTGCAAAAATTAATTTGTAGTAAATGCGCTTTACTAATCATTATCCACAAGTCTACGTAAACACTGTTGAACTTTGTCCAGTCTACTAAGTCAAGACTGGGCCACTCCAGCCTAGATATAGCAGCAATACTCCATTTTTGTCTGATATGACTCTTGTAAAAATAGAGTATGACAAGTGGGATCAAGTACTATTTTAATTGTCATAAAGACTTGACCATTTTTCTAGAAATGGATTGTATATAAGTGTTCCACTTGGAATCTGAGTTTAACTTGAGAACCAATAGATGTTCAAGGCAAGGAACCCAATGAGAGTATAACTCTTCATAATTACAAGAGAATATTCAATGTCTGCTTTGCTCAATAGAAAATGCATCATTCTTTAGAATGACAGTTTAAGTCAACACTTGGTAAATTAAACTCAGATGAAAATTAAATCAATATGTTTGGATATTTCTCTGCATCTTCTTAATCCAGCATCTTAAGATTTCCATTTAATCAGATCACTGGAACACTTTGTTAGTAGTAAATGTATTCAGCATAATCAATTCAGCATTATCAGCTTTCTTTACATCCTGTGTTCCATTTTCTTGCCACATGTAATAAAGGAATTAGTTTCCTCATGTGCTTTTCTCATAGTGATTATATTCTTGACAAATAAGTTTAACTTTTATTATGTGCTGGAATGCATTGTGCATTTTTTAAGAGGAAATTAAAAAAAACTTGTAGGTTTTTCATTCCACTTTAAAACTACAGCATTAATTTCCAAGCAAAATTTTATTTACTTATCTTTTGAAATTGTATGTAAGTATATATAATTCAAAGACAAATTAATGGTCCTGGCATGACATCTCAGCTTCAGTCTTTTTCTCACTGCTGTAATGTTTCTTCCATGTGCAATTTCTATAAATACTTTCATGGTAATTGTTTGGATGGGCACTTTGATATGATATCTAGACTTTATGAATTTGTTGTAGAGTAGTTTTACAGTTGAGGCTTGTGTTTCACTAAGTCGGTCCTAAAATAGGTTCGACGTACAAAATGTTAGGAACTTGGTATAATAGTTAATGACGCAGCAATCTAGTTGTGGTGGCTGATACTTTAATATCTGACTAACAGTCGTCTGAAATTGACTGACTGACCAACTTACTCCGCCCTTGCGACCGCTACTACTCCTACTTATTATAGGTGGGAGAGTCTATTAACAATAGAATAGGTGTGTTCCAGTATAACAGAATTTAACCACAATACTAGACTGGTCTTAAGATCTCATCAATTTACAGTTGAATTGACTAGATGTAATTGTAAGTTCTATGCTAACAATTTCTTTTCTCACACTTCTCACTTGTGGAACTCTGTTTTGCCTCTATGCTTGCTAACCAACTTTCATCTTCAATAATTTAAATGCAATGTCAATCGTTATCCACTGTCTCCCTCATTACTCTTCTATTGTTCTCACTCCTTAAGCACTTGTAACAATTTTTATATCTGCTGTGAAACATTTTATACCAATTATTTGCAAACTTTAACTCAGGAGCTCAGGCCAAATGATTCAAATTCTTCAGGGATGCAGGGCTCAAAGGGTTAAATAAAGATATTCTTGAGCCTCTGTTGGAAATTACTGGGCAATATTTTTAGCTTGACCTCGAATATAGTGGGATTCTAAGGATCAGTTGTTTTTTTAAGGTGCCTTACATGAGGAGTATTGGAAAGGTTTTAGTCAAACCCACTTTGCAAAAAAGGTACTTTGATGTTTTGTGATTAAAATACTGATTTTGAGAAGTGGGTTGAAAACTTTTCTGTACCCACTTGTGTACTGCAAAATTTGATGATAATTTTTTTATTTATTTATGACATTTGTTTCATTACTTTTTCGCTGTTGCAGAACTTTCTTCCCATAGGAAATCATAGAAATGGCATTGAAGCATAATACATTTAAGAAGCCAATTTGAAAATTCTTAACATGTATTCTCTTCTGATAGAACCACATAAAATCAATGACATTTAATCATAAAAATATTTTTAAGGAAACATCTGTTTTGTCTGAAGACAAAAGTTCATTTAAGGTTCATGTTAAATAATCAGTCAGTTATGTGCCATGCATGATACACACTTAGGCGATCATGTATATTTCAATACATGACTGATGAGGCAGATTTTTCCTGCAGTAGGTTGCCATTTCTTTCTGCAGTAGACCAGTTGCCAATCAAAGCTACAGAACCCAGTCTGTCCTGCTATTTAACCATAGCTGGGAGAAGAAGAGGATTCATACCTTTCCCAAGGTTATTAGCACATAAGTGAATGTAATGGATTCGACTGGAATTGAACTCAGCTCTCTGATTCCTCAATCCAAGCTGCTATCCATTACTCCATCATGCCTTAAAACTTGTGCTTAACAATTCATTATATTTATAAGTGTTCATATCCTTGGTGCATTTTTTGTGTATTATGCACATAATACAATGTATTTCTAGTGTAGCAGTTACAAGTGCTGAACATGGGTTTGGCATGTTGTGTTGACATTCTAGTCAAGGCTATTGCATTTGCTTTCACACAAACTTGAGAAAGATATAAATCTGTTGTGGGCCGGTGTATGTGTTGTGAGGCAAACCTGTGTGTCTCCTGAAATGCCCACAAGAATCAAGGTAGACTCAGAGTATGAGTCCACCTAAAAAAATAAAAGAAAACAAACCAATAGATATGTACAAACAAATAATAATGTATTAACAACAAAAGGTTACAAGTGACAAAGACAATAATGTGTGTAACAAATACATGTGGAAAGTTTTTGGTCCAAAGTATATGAAGTGAGGGATTGTGTGTACGTATATATGTGTGTATGTATTGTTCATGTGTCTCTCAAAAAGAGAAAAAAGACCATCTTCCGTGAGAGATTTACATGTTGTCGTATAAACAGAAAAGTAAGAGAGAGTGTGAATAATTATTGAGGAGTATTTATAGTGCTAGAAAACAACCCCTAGGAGTAGTTTTGAAAATTAGGAGAAGTTAGCCCAATAGTAGAGCTTTTCTTTCCTTGACAATCTTAACAGAGTTTGTTGGTCCAGTTATATATTATTTTAGTTCTTGTAGGACAAGTCATTGCTTAAATTCAAACTATTGATAAAGACTGATGACTGTTTTGTTACAGGTGGTGTATGCATTGAGAGATAAATATGTGTGGCTCCTGAAAATGCCCACAAGAAACATGGCAGACTCGGAGTATGTGTCCATGGAAAAAAATGTAAAGAAACAACAAAAACCAATATATATGTACAAACAAATGAATATGTATTAACAACAAAAGGTTTACAAGTTACAAAGACAATAATGTGTGTAACAAATGAAGGTGGAAACTTTTTGGTCGAAAGTACAATCTGTTTTGAAAATTAAGAGGAAATAACCCAACAAGAGAGATATAAATTTTAAGCAAGGGAGATAAATCACCAATATTCATATTGTTGGATGCGGCAAATCCATCTCTTCTCTGTATTGGGTTATACTGTTGTAATTATGGAATTTATCACAAAACAAGCATTTCAATATAAGTGAGCTGATATTTATATTTACGTATATATGTTTGTGTGTGTATCAATACATCTATCAAAATATGTAGGTATTTCTATGTCTGCAAGTGTATGAATATGGGCATATGTATTTTGGTGTATATGTCTGTGTAGGAGTGTGAAACATAGAAGTGGCTCATAAATGTGTCACGATATTTTAATATTTCATAGGACTGGAAACATCATGTGAAGAAACTTTTTTGATATCTGTCAAATACTTTTGGCAGTTTCTGAAGGTTATATCAATTTGTTTAGGATTTTTGGATTTCCATGGTGAAACTTAAAAAACTATTTTAGTCGTATATGCATGATAGAGACAGGAAAATATTGGGGATGCAGAATTTTCCTAAGGAAATTGTGAAAAAAGAATGGAAAAAATTCAAATGATGATTGTTTCTATTAGTTTATCTATCTTTTATCTATTAGTTTATCTATTCATCCAAGCCTGTTCATCTATTCAAGTCTGTTCATCTCTATCTATCTATCTATCTATTCAAGTCTGTTCATATCTATCTATCTATCTATCTATCTATCTATCTATCTATCTATCTATCTATTCAAGTCTGTTCATATCTATCTATCTATCTATCTATTCAAGTCTGTTCATATCTATCTATCTATCTATCTATTCAAGTCTGTTCATATCTATCTATCTATCTATCTATCTATTCTATCCATCTATCTATCTATCTATTCAAGTCTGTTCATATTCTATCTATCTATCTATTCATCTCATATCTATCTATCTATCTATCTATTCAAGTCTGTTCATATCTATCTATCTATCTATCTATTCAAGTCTGTTCATATCTATCTATCTATCTATCTATCTATTCAAGTCTGTTCATATCTATCTATCTATCTATCTATCTATCTATCTATCCAAGTCTGTTCATATCTATCTATCTATCTATCTCTATCCCTATCCATCTATGTTCATATATCTATCTATCCTCTATCTATCTATCTCTATCTATTCAAGTCTGTTCATATCTATCTGTCTATCCCAGTCTGTTCTATCTATCTATCTATCTATCTATCTATCTCATCTATCTATCTGTTCATATCTATCTATCTATCTATTCTATCTATCTATCTATCTATCTATCCAAGTCTGTTCATATCTATCTATCTATCTATCTATCTATCTATCTATCTATCTATCTTCATCTATCTATCTATCTATCTCTCTGTTCATATCTATCTAAGTCTGTTCATATCTATCTATCCCATCTGTTCTTATATATCAATCTATCTATCTGTCTATCCCATATCTATCTATCTATCTATCTATCTATCTAATTCTGTTCATATCTATCTATCAAATCTATCTATCTATCTAAGTCTGTTATCATCAATCTATCTATCAATCTATCTATCTATCTAATTCTGTTCATATCTATCTATCTATCTATCTATGCATCTCTGTTCTGTTCATATCTATCTATCTATGCAAGTCTGTTCTGTCTATCTATTGAAGTCTATTTACTATCTATCTATTGAAGTCTGTTCACATCTGTCTATCTATTGAAGTCTGTTTACATCTATCTATCTATTGAAGTCTGTTCACATCTATCTATCTATCTATCTATCTATCTATCTATCTATCTATCTATCTATCCCAGTCTGTTCCTTTCATAAAATTGATGATCATGGCTCTCCAAAACATTCTATTCTTTGTAGCTCTTAGCAACATCTGCCATTCTATGCCATAGAAGAGGACTGATATTTTGTAGCAGTAAATGTACTGAAGTGATAATTTGCTAAAATGTGTTATCTCATCAGTGGCAGCAATCAAGTTAAAGTATACAGAATCATTCTTATATTTTATTTTCCTCTCTGTTTCCTTCTCTGACACTTTGCAGACTGACAGGACCATCAAATTCCAACTCAGACTTAGTAACTGAAAATAAAAACGCTAACATCCTGGTTTCCAGATGAGGTTCGTGGCATCTGTCCAGTTTTCACACTTTTTTCCCTTCTCTTCTCTTTTGCTTCACTTTATTCTCTCTTTTTTTCTCTTAGTACAGATTGAAATCGCAGGTTATTTGTAAACTGATCAGTAAATAAGTTGTGAATTATGCATGACATTGAACTGGCTTGTAGAAGACGAGTCAGAGTGCTGCATGAGAAATACTCCAACAATGGGTCAGTTTCATGTGAACGTAATTGCAATCTGAATTTGACTGAACTAAATTAGCACATCAAGAAGTTTGTTGGCCTTTTACTTATATTATATTCATATTAGAGGTGAAAGGTGTTGTTCATTACTTAAAATAGCTCACTAGTTTACTAGGTGAGTAAGATGAGACATTACCCAGTTATATATCATGCTACCTAAATTTGCAATAATAAAATAATATGAAAATAAAATAGTTTCTTTTCTTCCTTAGAAAAGATTTTCATTCTCATTCCTTCACAGTTAATTTTTTATATTATTACAATGTGAAGAATATATTGTGTATATTTAAAGTATCTAAATATATTTATATTATTACAGTGTGTTGGAGTGTATTTAAGGTACTTACATATTCTTTGAAGGTTGTGTATTTCTCTACATATGGTATATTTTAACAATTCTACTTCATTAGTATACATCTTAATATAAGCCAATTTTGCATATTTCTTTTTTCATTTTTCAAATAGGCAAACTGATCTCTATAAAATAGACAACATTCTGATATGAAGACATTTTCTAAACTTAGGCCCCAATTTAAAAAAAATATCCTATTATACTTTTTTATTCTTTAAGATGTTTTTTTTTTTTTTTTTCTGTTTAAAAAAAATGCACTTATCATCTTTTAGCATCACAATAACAAATTTTTCAAGATGTTGCATGTGGGCTGTCAGTTTTTCTTAACCTTGTATCTTACAGCATCCTAATCATCAAATGATGTTTTTATTAATTATTTCACCTCAAGCAAGGTCATAGAGCCACTAAGATCCAAAGGGTTGCCGAGTATTAGAGAATATATGAAAAAAAAAATTAATGAGAATGAACAGTAAAAGAACAAGTAAATAGCAATTGATATTGCATTTAATTTCTGAAAATCAAAGTTGTCTGCAAAGCAAGAAGAGAGAATCTGCTATCAAGCTAAAAGGTTTACTTTCCATCATTTGTGAATTTTATAATTCCTGTCTTTAATTGAGGGTGACATTCAAAATTTCAATGATACTTAATACAGATACATGACACCTTTTTTCAAATTCTGACAATTTCCATTAGAGTTCACTCTTATTTTGAAATGACTGTACACTCATACATTTTTTTTTATAATGAATTAACTAAATGTTAGTGAGCATCTCCGTATTAAAAGGCAAGTAACTAATGGGGGTATTTTACTTACATTTCTGCATATGGACATGTATATGTATTTTTAAATCATTAAGCAAGGCAATAAAGCCAATAAGACATGAGGGACTGTTGAATGTGTGGGAATATGAGAAAAAAAACATTATCATGGAGCAATAAAAATAGAAGAACAGAAATAAAGAAGACAGAAGATAACAATTAATATCACATTTAAATCTTGGAAGATCCAAGTTGATTGGAAAGCAAAAAGCCTGAAGAGAGTTCCACAAGTGAGAAGTGCAATAAAAGAAGCACTTATGGGTACATCTAGTCATTTCTACTGTGAAATGATGAAACCTTGTCGCCAATCTAGTGCTGCATTAAAAAATCATAAAGTCTAGGTACCACAGAAGAAAGTTCATCAGAATAACTACCATGAAAGTATTTATAGAAAAGGCACAGGGCAGATACTATCTTTAATGTCTCTACTCTGGGAAGAGAAGAGATGGCTTCTTACCTTTCTTAAGGGTATTTGTGGAAGAGTCTATAATAATATAATTAATTCACTGGGGTTATCTAGTCTTGAGATGAGTACATGAAATAAGCTTTGGAGTAAAAGTCTATAAAAATGAAAATATTTTATGAAAGTGAATTATCTAAATAAAATGTCTTAAATACTATCATTTTAGGTGCAAATAGTCACAAATGAAGAAAGAATTATGGATAGAATTAATGTTTTAATTTCACTAGCAAAAAAGGAATTTTTGAGAATGTAAATTTTAAGGAAATGTAATCTGAGAGATAATAAAGATACAGTATAAACATTTATAAGCTTTATTTTTCTGTTATTGTTTTATGAAAGAAAAACAATTCCAATATGAAATTAGAAAATGGTTTATTGATTTCAGACAGCTATGTGTTAAGGATTCAAAATAATTGCAAAGATATGAAATTGGCAATTGCTTTTCTGAATAATTTGTCCAAATTCTATCAAATGAAAAAATGTAAGCATCACATTTTAATTGAAGTAACATGTAATTAAACAAATTTTGCCAAAATCAATTATATTTTCACTATAAAACATTTTCTAGTAAGGATCTAATAAAATGTATAATTTTCATAAGGAGCATCTTTAGAGTTTATTTTTTGTATAGTGATTTTTTTTTCTTACCCATCATTACCAGTCTGCAGAAAATCATTGTCATTTATTCCAAGAGCTTTTTAGACAATTAATCACATTGTTTTTTGCTTGCCGATTCTAATATATTATCTGTAACTCAAAGAAGAGTAATGCTTAAAAAATAAAAAAAGAAATGATTTTGGCAAAACACCTAAAAAATTTCTGGAATATGAAAAATTTGGATTTACACATTATCTGCATTCTTTCTTTCCTTTTTCTTTGTGAATGTGTTTAACATTTTGACAAGGCCCAATTTTCACCTCCTCAACTTTCCACAAATTATTTAACACCAGCAGAAACGAAAAAAAAAAGAGGCTAAAAGTATTCCCAGAGTTACAGCTAAGAGTATACAAGGGTTATACTTGACTAGACTATTTTATGCCCAGGGTACATGTTAGATTAAACTTGTTTATATACCTGGATATAAAATGGAATATACTAGAATATGCCCCTTAAACTAGAATTTTTTTTCTATGTCATGTGTCCTTTCAGGACGTAGGCGATCATGGCTCTCCACCTCCTTCTATCCCTTGAAGCTCTCAACAAGTTCCTTCCCTCTGCCACCTCTCCCAGACTATGTTCTGTCATCCACTTAAAGCCGCTAGGTATGTCATGCATTGTTTTGGCTAGAATATACCCTCTCCTAATAAGATGTATGCTATTTTATCTGCAGATAATAGTCAGGGGTACTATGGATTACACAAAGTCATTTACTGGGTTGATCCAGATAATATTTATTGTGTTGTACCAGACAATTATTCTCACCAGAATCCATCTTATCCATTTATAATCTACCATTCATCAATGCATTAAATATTGCTGCCATATCATCTGGTGCTCCTGTTATATATCTTGAGATCCCTGATAAAATCATAAAATGTGTTTGTAATTTTATCAGTTCAGCCTGGCATCTCAACATTATCCACTTTCCCATTGCCTTGATATGGCTTCTCACTGGCTTTTCTATAATATTTTCATAGCAATTGATCTAATGAGCTCTACTCATTTTTGTGTTTGACTACTGTTACATTTTGTGTGCAGTTTATAGTCCATAAATTAATTTATTGTGAAACAAGTTTCTCTACTCCAATGCAATCTGTTTTTAATTTTAGTCAACAGATGTATTAGTTCCTTTCTAACAAACATGGCTGCCTTATTATTGTTCAATGAGTTTCTATCAGCCATTATAACCAGTTTGTAGAGTGGAAACATCACATAACATTCTAGTGACACAAAACACTTGTTGAGATTAATAGTAGTTTACCAAATCTTATTATTTATTATTAGTAGGCCTATTGATTTGAACAAGACTTGTTCCTTTTTAGAAATATGGATATCTGGTAAATGTTGAATAAGTTTATATCAGCCATTATTACCAATTTGTAGACTGGAGCCATCATATAACATTGTATCTAAGAAACACAAATGTTGACACTAAAAATAAAAGTAGGTATAAACTGGTCTTGTTTAGTGAAAAAAGTTTCTTTTATACACTGTATAAAGTAGTTTTACTCCAGTCAGACCCCATGGATTATTCTAAACTAGCTTAAACTATACCAGGATATATTCTTGGAGGGGTTTAATCTGGGCCGCTATACCAGTCCATTCTATTTAGTAGGAAATTTTTCTGCTGAAATATGTTTAAATTAAATAATTATTTGTGCACTCATCAACTAAGCAATGTGTGATGTGTCAACAGACTTACTTTGATTGTCAGCCTAATGTGTTTGTGATTTGGTAGACAAAGGCTTAGTTGTCAGCTGCTTAATCCCTTCTATTGTGTGTATGGACAAGGCCTTACTTTGGTGCTGTTGGCTGTTATTGCTTCCATTGTGTGCATATTTATGGATCCATGTGTGTGTATAAATGTCTAGAAAAAAAAACTGGTCTTTAAAAATGTTTTGAACCAGAAGAAGAAGTATGCTTCTGTTTTTATATTCATAAGGCGTTTTAAAATCTAATTTCGCATAGAGGTGTAAACTTTTTAAATACAAGGTTTTCATTAGTTAGAAAATAATTTCACAATGGCTCACAAAACCTTTTTCTTGAATTCGTGGGAGTGGGGAAATGAGTTTTTTATTTTTATTTTCTAGATTATTCAAAAGTAACCCTGCATCTGCCAAGTATTTTGTTGGTATTTGCCTTTGTAATGATCATTTATCAAACAAA